GCAGCACAGAGACACGAAATCAAGCAAATACTCTAATAACCACACAAATGAAAAATATAGCCACACAAATACCCGAATAGTTGTTGTTTATTGTTCATATTTTAGAATTTTAGTATTTTAGAACCTACAACGTGAATCTTCCAATCGAATTTCCTCTAACCACTACATGTCAGACTAGTCACTTTTCCCTTCTGTTTATTCTCTTACTCCCTCTCAGACTTATAAGTCAGAGTCAGTTACCTTGGAGCACCTGCCTCTGTATTTGTCACATCCTTGAAGTAAAGATTCCACCTTGCCTCTGATCTGTGGCAAATTGTTAAGTAGTGGATCCTCGGCCAATGATTCCCTACAGCCCAACTGCACTCAGGCCAGACGTCTCCCAGGAGCATTCGATATGCTGGAACATTGCCTACCTGCAAATGCATCTGTCTGCTCACCTGCTAGTTGCCTGTTCTGCTTAACCTGCATGAATAGGCTGTCATGATCATGCATCAAAGTCATTACAATTTCATCCATCAAAATATCAGTAGTATCCCCTCCTGTCTTAATGAGCTCTGATACAATTGCTGTCTTGGGACAATGAGATCAGTTTCTTTAGCTTGTTCACAGCATAGTTGTTAATTCCACCTGTATTATCAAAATAAACAGAGGTATTCCATCCATGCTTCAGCTTTGGTACACTGGCTGTTGTTTCCTGTAACTGAGAATTCATGTGAGGATTCTGCAACATTGCCTGATCACTGCCTGATGGGACTGAGCCCAACGGTTGTGGTCACAGGTGACACATCAAGCTTGGTGGTGCTGGTTCCTCAGCAGATGATTAACACTCATTGTATTTACAATACCACTCACTAGATTTATAGTGGAATGGGGGGTGTTGGTCGAATAGCAGTAATGCCACTGGACTAGTAACCTAGATCCCAAGCTAATGTCCTGAGGACATGGCGTTGAATCCCTCCAATAGCAGATGGTGATATTTGAGCTCATTTAAAATCTGGAATGAAAAGCTAGTCTACCATGTGACTGCTGACAATTGTTGCATAACCCATCTGGCTCACTAATGACCTTTAGGGAAGGAAATTTGTCATCCTTACCTGGTCTGGCCTACATGTGACTCAAGACCCACAACAATTTGGTTGACTCTTAACTGCCCTCTGGGCTATATGGAATGGCCAATGAAAACTGGTCAAGCCAGTGATGCCCATATCCTATCATCATCAGACCCCTTTTTCTCCACATCCTAGTCTGTTTCAAATTCTCTGGGAGTCATGAGACAAGCCATACCTGTTGCCTAGAAACTGCTCAAATCAGCCTTTAGATATTATCCTACAAGGTCTGTGGTTAGCCTCTTCATCCACTTGTGTTACCTTGGAAACCACTTTAATGATCTTCAGTTACCCATCAGCCCTTTCAGTACTCTCCACATTTCTGGCACATAGATTGCATTCAGCCTTCCTCTCCCTTTTATTTTCAATGCCCTGACATTGCAAGGACTCTACTATATTCCTAACAGTTCCTTCCCGCATTTCGTCCCCTGCCTTTCAATACTCAGATCCCCCCATTAGTTGCTGCCCTCTCCTCCAACCCCTGGCCTCCTGCACCTGCTTATGTTTCTCCGTCAGAATTTGAATTCACCTCTGCACACACAGTAACGAACTTGCCTTTTCCTTTGATTTCTTGTGTTGTCTACTGCTCATCCACTCTACAATCCTCGACTGCAGACTGTCAGAGTACATCATTTCTAGCAACCACGGCTCAGAAAAGTTTACCTTGCCATACACGTACAAGGATATTCTATTTTCCTTTGGGGGTTTCTTGCCCATTGACACAGTCCAGCATTTTAATCTTAACCTCAAAGTCCTGTATTGTTCACCAGATTATGTCAGTCATTCCTGTTCCCCCTTACAATGGTTCTTAGACTGTAGGATTTTATAAAACACAAAAATCACACTGACATGGGTATTGGCTCAACCACAAACTTGTTTATTAATATATACCTACTTTTGCCCTGATACAAAGCCTCTAAGTTTGGTCCTATGATACAATATATTGATTGATTTGCCTGATTTAAATCCATCCAAAATTTATCATAGGCTCCCACCCAAAACACAGAAAGTTATCTGAGAAAAACCTTTATTGAAAAACCACAGGAGGAAGCTTTTGTTTCTGCCCAAACCCCCAAAATTTGGTAGTTGACTTTAGGTTACCAGAACCTCTCAGACCCATTATCCCCTAGATTTGGCCGATAATTTATAACCATCCATGTACTGGTCCTTCCATTGAGAACTGTAGGTCTTGACTCTCCTTCATGACTGCAGACCCATCCAGACCAAAATCACTACAATTTGAATAGAACACCTACAGGATAATCCATCCAAATAAACCTCTCACCATTCACAAATCAGAAATTTTTCTCATCATTCAACGCTTAGTTGGAAAATGAGACATTTTTCTCAGTGCTTCTTAGTCTTCTTGTTACAGACAGTGAATGTTCTCAGTACTTCATATTTCATGAAACACTGTAGTTTTATCTTAAAGTTTAATATGTGCCACTGGCATTATGTACTGCGTGTTGTTCAACCTTTGGCAACATAGTTGAGGTAAGTACAATTGTGTGCTTGTACATCAGGATCTTTCATAGCTTCTATCATTTTAGCATATATTCCAGATCCTGTGGGTACAATTAATTGACCTTCTTGAGGCAACATTTTATAAGAATGTGTCTACAGCCAACCTTATTCAATCTCACATCTTGCAGCATTTTTCCATCCATGAACAAGAGATTTGGGATACTATGTCACTCAATCACTTGCTGTTAGATTTCTTTTCCCGCCTCTCCAATTATGCTGGCATCAACCACTTGCACAACATAGCCTTTGGAAAAATCCCTTCCTTTCGGAGCCTCATGTCACCTTTAGAAGTGTGTCAAAAAAAATGTTGTTTTCAAACGCACCCATATACAGTGGCCTTTTAAAGATGGTACAGCACCAAGGATGTTAATCCATTCTGGGATTCCCAGATATGGTAAGTTTTTCTAGGCACAACGAGTGGTACAATGGTGCTAGAATTGGGCCAGAAGAGCACCATAAGGATGAGGTAGGTAATTAAAGAGATCTGCTTAGTAAAATATAGCAAGAAAACTTTTTAAGCCTTATGGAACTTGACAAAAATGAAACAGCCTAAAAAATGTAAGATTCAGCCCTAAGAAATAGTTGTGTGGGCAATATCCCCCTCCAATTATCTTTCATTCTCACTTGAATGACGCATCCCACTCACCCATTAAGATCAAAAGTTCTATTAAATGGAAATAATAGTTGCAAGATAGATTCTCACCACTTTATGACTTCCTGTAGCTCTGTTTTTGTACATTGTAGGAAATACTTTTACTAATTCTTTTCGCTCATTTTTTCTTTTTCTTACAGCCGGAACCTCTTTATCAACTAATCACTTCAGATACATTTCAGAGTGCCAGCAGGATCAAAGCCAACATGAGGCGAGCCCTAGAAGAGTATCTGATGGAATCCAGTTCCTGTCGATGTGCTCCATGTCAAAATAATGGTGTTGCTGTTCTTAAAGGTATAATACAATCACTGACTGGTAGATAATAAAAGACATAATTCTTACACAATATAATTTTTGTTCTTTCCTTTCAATATAAAGAAATAATTACAAAATCCTTTCTTACAGTAACAAGCAGTGAACTTTTTCAGATTTAATCACTGGGAGGGGATAATATCACTTCTGATGAAAAGCAATAATAAAAGAATAATATCATATTCTCAGAAATCCCTGCTCCTTCCTTGATTGTTAGTCATCATTAACTATATTGAAAGGTTTTCCTTCAAATCAAAATGCAAATGTCACCATATTTCCTTAAATGTAGAAATTATAATGTGAGCCATTGCTTTTCAATGACTGAATAAGTAAATTTGTTAGATTCTACATGAGATAATAGAATTCTGCTGGATTTCTATTGGTGTTTTTTGGATTATATTCAACAATTTCTTCCATTTTCCAAAAGAACAGCAAATTAGGAGGCATAACGATAATAAACACAATTGGATGCAATCTTGTTGCCTTATTCCTTGCAATCATCTGGGTGATACAGCTTGATGCCAGTTAATTACAGCGAAAGACTGCAAAATGAAAAAGTATTGTCAAACATCAGTAATGACATAATTTTATCATTGCAGGCACCCAGTGTTCATGCATATGTCCTGCTGGTGCTCATGGAACTGCCTGTGAAATTACATCCAGAGAGAGTAAGCATCATTAACTGTGTTAATGAGAGAAATAATAATTGTATTTTTAGCACTGGCAGATAACGTCTTACGATAGTAGACCAATAACCAAAGCAGCATAGTGTTGTAGCAGTAGCATGATGCAGTTTGCAGACATAGATTGTATTCATTTTCCTTTGTTTAATTTATCCCAGTTTCAGTTTCAGTTACATTACAATAAATAGAATCTCCTGAGCTCATGGCTGGGAGGAAGGAGTTGGAAGGTCTTGAAAATTAGGTTGGTTGTTGTCAGGACTTGTACCCTAAGCCTTCCCATTTTCACGCAAAGAAGGTGCCAGGCAGAAAAAAGCCTGCCCTGCCTGGAGGTGGGAAGGTGTTGCATTTTAAGTCCTCCTACCTCCTTCCTTAACTGGTCAATTACTGAAACTTAAGTTCCTCTTCCTACATCAGATGTAAATTCCCCCAACACCCAGTAAACCTGTTGATGTGATTGTGGCATTGGCCACAGCCATGGTCTCCCCTGTGGCCCTGCCAATGTGCTAGAGCTGTCGCCATCAACTGCCTGGCAGTTCTAGGCAGGCAGGACATAATATTCCAGGATCCTCAGTGGGAAGGAAGGGTCCTCTTAAATCCCCGGCAGGCAGAAGATCCAACAAGTCTTCCTTCTAAGTGTGAGCAAAAGTGTCTTCATACGTTCTCAGGAAGTATGCCAGATACCCCACAGGCATACTCAGAAGATTCAATCCAGTGGGAAAATTGGGAATCAGCCACTTCTCATAAGTAAAGAAAATAAGTTGGGTAGTCACCTTGTTATTCTATTATGTGCCAAGGTTGTCTTTTGTGAGAACTTGCTGTCATGCTGTAAAGAAGGCAAAATGGCAAAACCATATTTTTACAGAACTACTTTGTTCTTTTCAGCCTAAAATTGCACTCTCTCATTGATGAATTTCTATACATTTTAATATTTGATATCAAAAATCATGTTAGAAAAGATATTAAATCTCATGCCACTGTATATTTTTTCTCATTTTAGATTTTTCAGTTGATGGGAAATGGAGCTGTTGGTCACCTTGGTCTGAATGCAGAAATAGGCAAAGAATAAGGACTCGACAGTGCAGTAATCCACCACCAGAAAATGGTGGCCATACATGCAGAGGTGATAATCAGGACACATTGTTATGCTAATGATGAAACAATGTTTTACTTTTACCTTCTTCACAACTTCAGATTTTGGCTTCATAAGTATTTGAATGAAATATAAAAACTTGTTTCAGAAGAAGATGTGATTGCATGTTTAAATGTAATTAAGAAACATGGTTAAACAATGATTAGTACAAAGAAGTTGAGGTAGCAAACATTACAGTTAAATAAAGTCAATTTATCTTTAAAACTAAACAGCTTTTCTTCTGTTTTTCTCTATAAATGAAGATGTTTGTATGCATAAATTTATCAAGCTATGAATTTAATATAAAGTGACCATACCAGGATCTCTAGGTGTATTTTATGTTCAATAGGTGGATTCAACTGAATAACCAACAAACGTTTCACACATATATGCAGGAGAAATGACTAATAGTACTAAAAGAAAGTAATAAAAAGATAATTAAATTCCTTTCTATACATTCTGCATGCAGATAATGTGCTTCATTATGTAAAGGTGTTAAAGAAGTCATCACATCTGAAAACATATGCATGAAAATATGTCTAATTATTACCTTTGAGGACTAAACAATTTTGAATCATTATGTAAACTATCTTGTAATATCTTCAAAGTTCAGTTGTAAAGTCCAAACTAAACATGTCCCAGATTAATCCTCACATATCTTGTTAATTTGCTGATCTTGCCTAAGGTGGCAGTTGTAATGTTACAACTTGAGTAAGGAAGGCAATACTCAGGAACACCTGCACGTCCTGATCTCCATCAAATGCCATGTGTTTTAGAATGGTCAAGTTTACATGCACCAGTCTGTCACTTACTAGCCTTATCATCGACAATGTTTGTTTGAACAAGCTAATGGAAGGCAGTGTCTGTAGAATCATGCCCAGCATGAGCAATACCTCTGTGGACATGTGGCATTTAATGTATAGAAAAACTAGTAACCTATAAATGGCTGAAGTTAATTTGGCAATTCAGGGTATCATGGAAACAATGCTAGCTAAAAATAAGTCTAAGAAAGCACTATCTAAAAGCATTCTAATCATAGTCCTAATCGTATTTGACGACACTGTTACTACAGTCCTTTGTGTAGCAACCATTGGGGTTAGTAAGTTCAGTTGGCTTGACAGCTGGTGCAGAAGGCAGAGTGACACCAACAGTGTGGGTTCAGTTCCTGCACTGGCTGAGGTTACAATGAAGGATTCTCCTTCTCAAACTCTCCCCTTGCCTGAGGTATGGTTACCATCAGTCATCTCTCTCTAATGAGAGAACGGCCGAATGGTCCAGCACAATGATAAAACCTTTACTTGTTGGCAACTCTGCTTAATTAATTACCCAATATTTTAAACAATTATAACTGTTTCAATTATTAACTCCAGAAGTGCATTGTACACAGTTAAAAAAAAGCTGGATGCTAAGTTGTGTAGCCCCCAAAACTGTAATAAGGATCATCAAATGAGATTAACCCATGCTAATCACTGCTGGGGTGAATCTTTAACCAGAGATTAAGTTTAAAAACAATAGCTCTCCTATTCCAGATGGAGATAAGAAAGAATTTCTTTTTTTCAAAGGATCATTAGTCTCTAGGCTTCTGTACCCCAGAGAATATTGAGGCTTGATCATTGAATACATTGAAAGCTGAGTTAGATGGATCTTTGATCTATGGAAGAGTCAAAGGTTATGTGGCATAGAAGAAAGTAGAGTCACTGCCACAAGATCAGCCAGAATCTTATTAAATGGCTGAAGAGGTGAAACTCACAGTGATTTAAGGACTCTGGAACATTAGCCCTCGTATGGCTAAAAGAAGGAATTTCTGCATTGGGCCTTGTTGTTGGAAGTCACTTCAAGGGTCTTAGAAGACTAAGGAAAATGAATATTAATTGCTATGACTCAACAAAATGAGGAATAACTGAACTGTTGGAAGCTGGAAATAACTTTGTACTAATGATCAGTAACCTTTAATTTTTAAGTGTAAGCAAACTAGGAGGTGCAGGTATTTAAAAAAATGAATAAAGCCACAAGATTACACTGTTGTTAACAGTAAACAATAAGCTTTACTATACAACGTTAAAACAGTAACACAGTCTACAACACATAGGAGATAGCAAGAACTGCAGATGTTGGAGTCAGAGTCAATAGTGTGGAGCTGGAGGAACACAGCAGGTCAAGCAGGTTCTCTGATGCTGCCTGACCTACAATACACAGGAAAAGCTTACATTCTAACATCCAGTGAAAAACTCATAACACACATCAAATAGTAAATGAGATCAAGTCAGATATTACAAATTTGTTGGCAATTCAAACCCCCACCACCACCACTCGCCTAGCATCAAACAATGCTGCCTTTAATTTGCTAGGTTGAAGAAGTAATAGGTTTGAAAGGTACTGTCCAAAAGTTATTGGTGACTATTGCCATACATCTTCTAGATGGCACACATTCTTGCAACTGTGCACCAATGGTGGAGAAAACGAATATTTAAAATGGTGGGTAGGGTGCCAAACAAGTGGGCTACTTTGGCCTGAGAATGTCTTTTTGACTTGATAGAGGTGTACAAAATGATCAGAGGTATAGATAGAGTGGACAGCCAGAGACGTTTTCCTAGGGTGGAGGTAGCTATTATGAGGGGGCATAGTTTTAAAGTGAGTGGACATAGGTATAGGGGAGACGTCAGAGGTAGGTTCTTTATTCAGAGGGTGGTCGGGGCATGGAATGCATTGCCAGAGAGGGTAGTGGAGTCAGCCTCATTAGGGGCATTTAAGCGGCTATTAGATAGGCATATGGATGATAATACAAGGGTTGGAGGTTAGATAGACCTTAGGAATAGGGTAAAAGTTCGGCACAACATCATGGGCCGAAGGGCTTGTGCTGTGCTGTGCTGTGCTGTACTGTTCTATGTTCTATGTCGAGATTCTTAAGTGTTGTTGGAGGCATACTCATCCTGTCAAGTGCAGAGTATTCCATCACACTCTGGAATTGTGTCTTGCAGATTGTGGACAGGCTTTGGGCTTGTTGTTAGTGATACGCTGAGTCACCAAATTGCATTAAAACTTCACAAAGGATTACAATCCTTCACTTTTGGTCATCTAGACTTGAAATTCCTTCATGGACTGCCTCAAAAATTGCTAGTGATCACTTTTCCTTCCCAGGGTTATGCTCTGCTGAATTCTGGATATTATACTCCAGCACGTACTCGCAAGGGGACCTGAATCAACACAGCTGTGCATTTAGCAGTGCTGGAAATGTCACATGTATCTCTACTATATTACATGTAGCCTTTGAACCTATGGAAGCCAAAAAAAAGAGAATTAGAAAACCTGAGGGATTGAACACCTTCCATTCACCACTACCCAAGAAATAGCCATAGCATCATTTAGGATAGCTGATTTGGGAAGAAATCATGCATTTATTAAACAGTATTTGAGCCTGAAATCAGCAGGTTTCAGATTAGTGTTACTGGAGGAGGGCATGTTTGTGTTGTTGGGAATACATAGTCGTTAAAACAATGGGCTGGAAATGGGAAGAGATGGAAGGATTTGTAGGATTTCTGGATGAAACAGGCTGTACCATGTGACTTCTTAAAACTGAAAAGGTTAAAGCTGTGATTGTTGACCTACTGTTACAAAAAGTTAGATAACTTTGTGGAAAAAAGACATGTCAAGTGCTAAAGAGAGATAAGAGATGGACTTTGTGGCTTTATTTGCTGTGATTTGAAGGAGATGGGGTCAATGGACTGAAGGCTGCCTAGAACATTTTTCTGGAGTTTCTGTTTATCTAGTATGGATCTGTCAGCAGAATAAAATTCCTCAGAAAGCTTTCAGTGAAAGATTTCACTCTCTCCCTCTCTTTCTCCTAAAAAAAGAATCTCAAAGCATAATCAGCTGAAAAGATTTCTCTCTTCTGTCCAACATATTTCTGAGAACTTGAGAAAGTTGCAAATATCAGAATCTCTGACAAACTCAAATTCTGAAAGCTAAGTTGTTATTTCAATTCAAAGACTTTAATATAACTGACCTTCTATCTGAACTGAAGTTTTGTCTGAAGATTTTCCACCATTCTACAGTGATCAGCATTTCAATCTTGTCAAAATATCACGAACCATGAAAAATCATTGCAATTTATGACAAATTGCTGTAAAAGCGCCACAGGCCTGGCAGTATCTGTGGAGAGAAATCAGAGTTAATGTTTTGGGCCCAGTGACCCTTCCTCAGAACTAGTTAACTCTGATTTCTCTGCTCAGAAACTGCCAGACCTGCTGAGCTTTGCCAGCAATTTCTGTTTTTATTTCTGATTTCCAGCATCCGCGGTTCTTTCAGTTTTTATTCCAATTTATAATTTGAGGTTAGACCTGGGGCCCAAAGGTTTTTGTTTTTCTCGTTTGCCTTTTTCTTTAAAAAAGACCCATATCATCTGTGCTGAACTTATTGTCTTGTTTGTCATATGTCTATGTTTGTCTGGGATTAAGTTGATACAGTTTAATTCTGGAATTTGACTTAGTTGCTAACCACTTCATTTTATTACACATTCCTGGATGTGGTGTTACTGATGCCTAGAAGGATACCACATTGGTGCTGGCCTGAAGTTACCAGACCAGGTGGGGATGGCATATTTCCTTCCCTAAAGGCCTAGCAAAGTGGATGTTTTTCCCATCAATTGATAATGGTTTCATGGTCATCATAAGACTTCTAATTCCAGATCTTTATTCAATTCAAATTCCACCATCTGCCATGGCAGAATTTGAGCCCAGATTCCCAATACATTACCTGGGTCTCTGGATTAATAATCCAGTGAGAATACCTCTAGGTCATCACCTCCCCTTAAACCACTTGATTCAAGAATTTTGTTTCTGTTAAAGGAACCTGGTGAAAGTTTCTTTTATTGGGGGTACTAGTGAAAAAGAGAAACAATTTTTCCATTTTATTCCTTGAATCAAAGGATTTACACTGCCACTATGGCTCAAACAGTAACAGGGCTCAGTGAGCAGCATGTTTCTTCTGTCAGAGTTATAAGAGGATCGTTGAACCTAGAATCTAACTGAACCACAGTAAGGTTAAGAGATGTTGCTTTCCATTGGAAGGCAGTAAGGCAGCTTGGGTCTAGATATTATGTGTCATTGCCAAGTGTGCAGAATGTGAAATAAGGTGGGTTCCTAGTCCATTACTTTCCCACCCACCCCAGTCTCATCCTCACTGGTTAAGTATTTGCATCCGTAAATAACAATTAAAGGCCAATTCACCCAAATATTACCCTGGCCATGTATAATATGGTTGGCATGAGCAGGCAGGCAGTTTGTCTATTTTTAAAACGGAGTGATGGAAAGCAGTACCAGCTTTGGAGGGCTGCTCTTTGTACATCAATCCAACAGAAAATAGCAGCCATCTTCATTTCTACCTGCAGAATGTCTGCAGTTCAATTGAGCCTCCTATCCACAGTTCTGGCAACATCCATTACAGAGCTCTGGAGCTGCCTAGACTATTGAAGTTGCTGAAACTCCTTGTAGCCATAATGAACTCCAGGTGGGATAAACTAGTGCAGAGTAGAACTTCTGCCCCTCTGGGGCCAGTGTCAAAGTTGGGAGCGCTGTCTAGTCAGGCAACTGGCTGACATAGTCAACCACCAGCAGCACCATCCCGGCATATGTCCCTCTAAATCTCATAGCATCAAGTCAAATTAAGGAAGCCTCTTGCCGATTGCTATGTCTACCCCATCCTCAGCTAATGAAACAGTACTCCTCCATATTGAAAACCACTTGGAGGAAGCACTGAGGTTTTCAAGGGCACAAGTACTCTGGATGGGAGATTTCAATTTCCATCTCCAACAGTGGCTTAGCAGTTCCACTACTGACCGTACTGGCTGAGTTCTAAGAGACATTGACGTTAGACTGGGTCTGCATCAGGTGGTGATGGAATCAACAAAAGGGGAAATGCACGCTTGGCTTCCTCCTCACCAATCTGCTGGCTGTAGATGCATCTGTCCATGACAGTTTTGGCAGAAGGGACCATAATATAATATTTGCCAAGATGAGTCCCATTTTCATATTAAGGATACCATCCATTGTGTTATGGGCTACCAACACTGAGCTAAATGGGACAGATTTCAAACTGATCTAGTGACTCAAGATTAGACATCCATGAGGAAAAAACAGAAATTGCTGGAAAAGCTCAGCAGGTCTGGCAGCATCTGTGAAGAAAAAGTCAAAGTCAACATTTTGGGTCCGGTGACCTTCCTCAGAACTCTCGGTTATACTTATTGAACATTAGTCATCAAAGTTTCAGGATGTCTCTGCAGGAGTTCCTCAGGATAGTGCCCTAGGCCCTATTATCTTCAGATGCTTCCTTCATCAATGACCTTCCCTTCATCAGAATGTCAGAAATGGGGAACGTTCATTCACTCTTGCACAATGTTCAGCGCCATTTGCAAGTCCTTAGATACGAAGCTGTTCATGTTCGTGAAGCAATAAGATTTTGACCATCTCTGACAAAAGAGAATCTAACCATTGCTACTTGACATTCAATATCCCGAAGGCTGTAATTAAGCAGAAACTGAAATGAACCAGCTATTTAAAAACTATAGTTAAAAGAGCACATAAGAGGCTAAGAACCTTGCAGCAAGTAATTAATCTCTTGCCTCCCCAAAGACATGAGTGCAACTCCACAACATTTAAGAAATTTCACATTAACCAAAACAAAGTAGCCCACTTGATTAGCGTTACATCCATTAACTTTCACTCCCACCACAGTACCAGCAATATGTACCATCTACAAGATTCTCTTCAGAAATTCACCAAGACAGCACCTTCCCAATCCATAACCACCACCAGCTAGAAGGACAAGGAACAACAGATATATGTGAACAGCACCATCTGCAATTTTCCCTCTAAAAAGACTCCAAACTCCCTCCCTCATGGCATTGTGAGTCTACCTACACAAAATAGACACCATGCTACTCAATGCCTGGTTGCCAGGTAAGTAATTTTGTAAGATATTGGAAACAGGCAGATCCAAAGAGTCTGACCAATGTTGGTGAGGGCAAGATTTGTGACAGAATCAATCAGACAATGCGTTCCGGTGAGGTTGATCCTGACATTATTGTTAGTTTCCTAACAAGAGTACATGAACACCAACTGGCTACAAAAAGACACGACCAATACTCACTCATCTCAATCCACATGGACAAGGAGAACCACGATTTCGACTGGGACAACACCAATATCCTGGGACAGGCTAGGCAGAGACAAGCACGAGAATTCCTGGAAGCATGGCACTCCACGAAGCACGCTATTTAATAAACACATTGAACTAGACCCCATATACATTCCACTACGGAGGAAAGCGGAAGTGAGGCAATCCGTCGCAACAGACACCAGAGTTTAAAAACCAGGCGGGAAAACACACCGATGCTTCATCAGAGGCTGCACTGAGGATGTTACCAAGCATGGTAACGAAACGTCAGCGGAACAACAAACCAGCTCGGCAAGCCAACCAACCTCAATTGTCTCATTAACATTCAGCGACCTCTCATATCAAATTTGCCAAATGAGCTTGATACTGAGGACACTCAAAATGGGAATTAAAGGAGTTACGTGGTAGATTCAGTTTGCTGCTTGCTCTGAACGACCTCCACATTGCTTACAACCAAGCTGCAACTCAGGGAATAATCCACAGGCACTAGCCATGCATATTCTTTATCCACAGACATTAGCATCCAGCATCTGCCAACCGATCGCAACCATCATATACCTCATCAAAACAGTGACAAGCCACTCACAAAGCACAGACTTGCCTTTACAGGGTGCACTGGGGACCAGCGTAGAAAGGTTGTTACGAGGACACTATACACTCTTAGACAGGCATCTAGCTCATAAATTGGACTAGGCTGCATCACAAGGCTAATCACTTGCACCTTTAGTTTCGCTCACATGGTGCCTACCTGCCTGCCGTGCCTGTTATCCTGTTAGCACTTCAGCCAGAACCAAATACTCTCAGTACTGCTGTCTTTAAGTGCTCATTTGCTCAGACAGGCTGCTTGTCATTCTTGTCATTAGGGATCTGATGGTGGGGAGAACACCTTGCTGGGAGATCAACATATCACCATATCACAATGCAGCAAACCTCATCAATAGGAGCGAGTTCCATTCGATTAAGGTAATGGTCTTCTACGATCACTATTATCAATTCCTGGAATTTATGCCCACTACACTTGCAGTTGCCATAACTCCTGCATCCTTGAGCACTCAAACCTCGTGCTTTTGAGGATCCATGTTTCTTACAAAACTAGTTATTGGAAGGAAAAGACTATCCTGTGTCACCCTGGCTCATGACAATATTGCACAACCCACTGAATGATGCAGTGTGCATTTTTAATGTTGCCCATGCCTAAACCATGGCCATGATGGAGAAGGCGATAGGGCTGTTGAAGGTACACTTCCACATTTGGATCCACCTGAAGGGGCCCTCCAGTATAGTACAGGCAGAGGGCAGTGCATGATCCTGACATGCTGTGCTCTGCACAAATGGAGCAGACAATGAGGCCATGTCCTGTTGCTGAGGATCGGGGGAACAAAAGCAGTCTCCTGAGGACAAGGACACTGGGGAGGAGAAAGATATTGTTGTCCATGATAGAGATCAGATGCATTAGACACAACAAGCTAGACAGAACCTCAACGGCGCCTTTGTTCAGCAGACAAACATGAACTGTAAAATATTCTTTGGCCATGATGCCAAAATACGGTTTGCATTGTCAGGGTGAACTTCAGACTTGATTGGAATTTGTTTGTGTTCCCTTTTGCTTTCTACAAATAAAAACTCATGTTTGTATTTGTCTGGTTTCAAGTATACACTGGGTAACAGGATAGCACTGATTTAGAAGGAATTCAGACAGGATTTGAACAGATAAAGTATGTAGTGTGTAGGTTAAACAGGAACTAAGTTAAGAGAATGGAATTGCTGCATGTCTGAGAGAGTGTCAGCCATGTTGGTTACCTGCTCTGGGAAATGTGTCTTCATGGCTGCTATGCTATGCCACGGCAAGAGAGGGGCTTTGCCAGATTGTTATTGCTTGTCTGGGTGCACTACAACCTTTCAAAGATCACACGGGCACAAGGGGTGCCAGACTTTTGGCAAATGCCAGCTGAGTGGTGAATGGAAGAGTTTTAAGATTGGACAAGAACTGAATGTGAGAGACGCCATAGGAACAGGTAAGCAATTAATATGGCAAGTTTGGTAAGATATGGCAAGAGAACTTGTTAAATCTCGAGTCAAGGAACCTTCCAAAAAACTGCAATTAGCCTAAAGAAATATATGATTTAGCCCACAATCTATTTTGTATCTCTTTATTTGTAATAGGAATCATAACTGCTTTGATATCCTGTACAGAATTTAATGCTGCTAAATGTATTGATTTGATTTTCATATTTTGTTACTACCATTCTGTTCCTGCTGTAAAGAAAACAATGGATCAGATATCAAGATCAACATGTATTCATCGCAATGAGGTCTATTGCATTGCTGACTCCCATAATTCATTGCAGTATGTTGACCAATCAACTGGTAATGATGGTCCTGGAAGTGTGAACAAGCTTCCTGGCCAAACATTAATGCACACAAATCAGTTTTAATCTTTCTTCAATAAAGGATAATTCTTGTCACATCAGTTCAAATGTTTCACCTCAATGAATACATCCCAACATTCATTACATTTAAGATATCAACAAAGAACACAGAGTAGTATTTCAAAATGTTGCCTATACCTCATATCCATTTATACTCAATGAAAATAATGATCACCCAAAAGCAAATAATTCAAAGGGCCAAAATGCCAGAGGTATTATTTTGTTTTAACAATACTTGGTTTGTGTGTTCTTCCCAAGGCATGTAGCACCGCCATCTTTAGGAGGTGGATGATTACAGCTTCGTGTTCGCTGTTTTGAACCATTCTGGCAAGAAGACCACCCTGACCAACAGCTCCAATTTCCATTAGTGGGCCCTATGAAAAAGAACGACATCAATGTGAAATAAACTGTGAGAAGAATAAGTACAAATTAATTACAAAATGGCATTTATTCTGAGATAACCCCATGAACAACGATTGTAAAATAATTTCAAAATGCATAGCACAAAAATATTGATGCTCGGTATCTCAGTAATGTATTTCCTGGATTACATTGACTGTATCTAAGTCATTACCATGTGAAATGGCTAAATAAATAAAAATACAGAAAGCATTAGATTATCTGAATAATTTTGGTTAACAGAACAAAATCCTTCAACTATTTGGCAATGACATTGAAACTGAAATTTGATATTCAAAATTATTTTGGACTGAATTATGAATATTTCAGAATTGTACAGTTGAACAAAATCTGCATACATTGTTTGTTGGCTAAAGAGTTCAATAGAAATTCAGATAAATAAACTCAATCACAATCCTGTATGGGTGAAATCCAATTTGTCATTCTGTGTATTAAATTTCCCAATATTCTCAAGTCAAGAACACATACCCATAGTGGCCATCAAGCTCTCTTATTATGCTACGTGTTCCAGTATCAGAACCATGAATGCTTCAAAGACATTTGCAGTCTTTAAGCAAAGAATTGGAATTCGGTGAAACATATTTTTAAAAGAACTTGAAATATCCAATTTATATCAGTTCAGATAAATTCTGGTAGATAATAACATCAAAAGTGACTAAAAAGAAATTAAATAAGTAACATCAAACAAACAACTGAGGGGATTAAAATCATTGTATTTATAACCAATGTTACATTTACTGTTACTGTTAGATTTTAAGCAGTAACATGGATTCCTATAATACCTGTCACCTTACCCTTTCGTTTAGTATCCTGGCACGCTTTCCCTTCATAACCAGGCAGACATTCACAGGTACAGACATTGTCCAGAAGAACCGCTTTTCCATTATTATAGCACACAGGACACCTACAGGGATGAAACTCCACCAAGTACTCTTCCATGGCTCTTTTTAAATTTTGTTGTTTGATTTCAACAGACTGAAGTTTACTTCTGGCCACCAAGTCATAAATTGGCATGAGCTGCAATATTAGAATAAAAATATTTGGAAAATAGATTTAATCCAAAGGTAAACGTTTTTTTTGAGCCACAGTTTCTTGTGCCATTGATTTGCCTATAAATTTGAAAACATTTGCTTGAACACACTGAGTTTAGGCGAGGTCAAATTAGACCTAAAACAGAAATTGTTGAAAAAGCTCAGCAGATATGGCAACATCTGTGAAGAGAAATCAGAGTTAATATTTTGGGTCTGGTGACCCTTCCTCAGAACAGAGCTCTTTCATTTTACCAAAGAACACACCAATTTACAGAACCAAACAATTGTATTTACCCATTGGCCCATCACATTTGTGTGAGATCTTTGCTACAGCAATCTAACTACCAACTATGTCACCATTATCATTGCATCACTTCTGTCTCAATCATGTACTAATTTGTTTTTAAAGAAAGCAATAGCTTACACCACTATTCCATGCTCCATAAATTGCCTGGACAAGTAATTTCTTCTTGCCTCTTCCCCCACACCCATCTCATTGTGATACTATTAAAGTAATGTTTCTTGATTTGATTTATTATGTCACGTGTAGAGGTACAGTGAAAAGTGTTGTCTTACGCGCTTTACATGCAGATGGTACTATACAAGTGCTCAGGGTAACAGAACAGAGTGCAGGATACAGTGTTACAACTGCCAAGAAGGTGCAGAGAGAGATCAACATTAATGTTAAAGAGGTCCATTCAAAAGCCTGATAACAGCTGGGACATTACAGTCAGAAGAAACTGTACTTAGACATCCAGTTTATTGTGAGCTGCAAAGTGCTTTGAAGCATCTCGTGTTTGCAAAAGACATTAGATAAATGCAAGTCTTCTTTTCTCTTTAGGGATACTCAACCTGACCCCTCTAATACTACCATCTGAACAAACCTCAATACTTCTAGATTAAACACTCTGTGTTCCAATCCAATTAGATCTCAGGACTCCCATTTCCAGACATTCCTCCCATTCTGAGATCACAAGAATGTCTCCTGGTGCTCAAAACAAAAGACACCAATCCCAATGTCCTGCACCAAGCTCCATAGGTTCCAGATTCTATTTAGCCTAGATCTAAAGGTCTGGTTCAACATTACCAGGACTTCTCTATCCAGCGTCATGGAGTCTCAAACCCCTAACTCCCACTGTCCAATGTTCCAAAATACAAAGCCTAGACTCTGTCTCTGTGATTCTAGTTCCAAGGATCACAGTCATCACTGGTAAGTCAATTGTTCTGGCTAATCCTACATTGGAAAACACCATGTCCTTGCGAAGCCTACAACTCACCATGATGATCAGAGGATTAGATAGGGTGGACAGTGGGAGCCTTTTTCCTCGGATGGTGATGGCTCGCACGAGGGGACATAGCTTTAAATTGAGGGGTGATAGATATAGGACAGATGTCAGAGGTAGGTTCTTTACTCAGAGAGTAGTAAGGGAGTGGAATGCCCTGCCTGCAAAAGTAATAGATTCGCCAACTTTAAGGGCATTTAAATGGTCATTGGATAAACATATGGATGATAATGGAATAGTTTAGGTTAGATGGGCTTCAGATTGGTTTCACAGGTCGGCGCAACATCGAGGGCCGAAGGGCCTGTACTGCGCTGTAATGTTCTATGTTCTATGTTCTATGAATCAAACCACTGGAATCCAGCTACCTATCTAACAGACCCTTTGCTTTATTTCCTGGTTCCCTAGCAATGACATTTTTGCAAAATTACTACCGTCATCTCAAAAGATCACTTTTCAATTCTAATGTATTTAACATTGGGTTGAAGTTTACATTTATTTTTAGCTAGCTGCCAGTTGCCTCAAGTTTTTTGGAAGGTTTCTCACTTCTAGGTTTAGCGAGGTTTAGCGAGTTTTAGCAAACTTGCCTCATTAACTACATACAATGCTCTAATGTTAGCCTTCTCTTCTGATTCTAGACTTACTTTACCATGTATCGTTTGCAGAACAATTCTGGCAGTGGTGTCATGTATGAAGACCAATGTGAACCCAGATAGGTACCATCCGTCTGCAGCTGCCCTGATCGGTTCCTAACATCAGATATTGCAGACAAGATTTGTGACCAACTTTGAGGGCAGGGATCTGGAGGTCCTGCTGGACAGGGTGGTGCACAGTGGGATGTCCTTCTACAATGGTGGAAGAAGGTCATTGACCTTCCCCACTCCGCTAGTGTTGAGAGCCACCATTTTCTCGCCAACACCTCACACTCATTCAGTCTCTGCTACTGCTCCCACCGCCCACCAAGGTTCATGCTCTACCATTCTCACTGCTGTCTGCAACATTTTTCCTCTTTTGCTGTCACTCATCCCAACCCTGACACCACAACTATGCATGCACTCTCTACCCACTTTTTTGGGACACCTGCACCAAAATTACTCAATTTCATCTCTCTTAAAACTTGCCCCTCTTTCATTCAGGAAGAAAGCAGTCCACAACAGGGCAGAAAGTGTCAAATCAGATGCTGGACTGCCCGACATTCAGATTCGCAGCCCTTTTGTGGAAAGCTTCCCGATTCTAACTGCCCTGAGTGGCTGACTGACCCTGGACTGCTCTTAGAGGCCACCCTTTACTTACCGTGCTGGACTCCCTGAACAAGGGCTATCTCCTTGATTTGACAGAGAAATAGTGAGAAACATAATAGGTACCCACACTTTATTAACAATACTCACACCTTCACAACTAGTTCTAGGCTCCTCCAAAGTTCCATCCCTCTGCATCACCTGACCAGCTTTCTTAAAGGGGCAGCAGTCCCCAACTACTTATATAACACATATTGACTTACATGTCGAAAATTCACGTTATCTACTTCATTTGGCTCATTTGCGAAGATGTTAAAGAGGCAAATTGAGGCATCAATAAAACATTTAATGAGAACTAACCTTCCTGAATTGGCAACTCACCACTGCCTAGCAAGAAAACTGCCTCACATCCACATTGCTCCCAACGTTGAGATAGACTTCTCCAAACTTCACTTTTGATTCTGCTACACATCTTGACAAAGCCCACATCACTCATGCCCCAGAAGTTCCTCCCAATGACTTTATAGTACTGAGACATTCAAACAAGTAAGTAAACTCTCTGTTTACAATTATAACATTTTCCTGTTAACCTTTAGAAAATGATAGCCTCTTTCTTTCTGAACATGTTGATGGTCTGTCCAGATAGTCTGAAAAATCCATCAAGGAATAGATTACATTTATTACTTTACTCTTGTGCTGTTCATATACAACAGAGACCACAGCAGTGTTCACCAAGTTTTCCTCAATTGGCTGAATTTCCTCTCTTCAGAACTAAGATTCAAACTTTTTTCAACTGCTTTCAATTTCTAACTATGAAGTTCACCCTCATTGTTTCAAAGATTTGTTAGCATCCTGTGTCTTAATGTAGGATAAGGGATGAAACTTGTGTAAATGCATTAAATTCAGGGTAGGTGTCAAGGCAGGAGAGCAAAACACCAATATGGAAAATTAAGGTCAGAGAATGGCAGTCCCAAACAGAGAATAAGCAAAAACTAAGAGTATAGAAGCAGTCAGGACTAAATGCTTACAAAGATAACAAAAATCAAAACTAAAGGCTTTGACTCTGAATGCACGTAGCATTCATAACAAACTAAATGAATTGACAATGCGCATTGAACGAATAAATATGATCTGAAAATCATTTTGGGGACATGGGTGTAGAATGACAAACGTTGTTTTCTGAATCAAAAATAAAGTTGCTGGAAAACTCAGCAGGTCTGGCAGCATCTGTGAAGGAAAAAAGAGTTAACGTTTCGGGTCCAGTGACCCTTCCTCAGAACTGTTCTGAGGAAGGATCACAGGACCCAAAACGTTAACTCTGTTTTTTCCTTCATAGATGCTGCCAGACCTGCTGAGCTTTTCCAGCAACTTCTGTTTTTGTTCCTGATTTACAGCATCCGCAGTTCTTTTGGTTTTTATGGTTCTCTAAATATTGAGGGACAGATCACATTCAAGCACAATAAGAAGGGAGAAGTGGAGGTGTAGTGCTTCTAATAAAAGATGGTATTGGTACATTAGTGATGATTTATTCAAGGAGACCAGGATGCAGAATCAGTTTAGGTGGAGATGAGGACTAGTCATTCTATATAATAGATACACCTTATAACATAATACTGGCACAGTAGTCTCAATGAGAAGTTCCTAGAATCCTTTAGTGATGTTTTCTTTAAGCAGCACTCTCTAAATTTGCCCGAGAGTAGACTATACTAGAATTAGCATTGTATAATGTGACAGGATAATTAATAATAGAGTAAAGGCACCTCTAAGCAGCAGTAATCAAAATCTGATTGAATTTTACATCCAGTTTTAAAAGAAGAGTGTGTCTAAGACTAGTATTTTAAATTTAAACATCTGTGCGTGTATGAAAGTTGATCTAGCAAAAGTGAAGTGGAATATAGGACAGGAGATAGATCAGAGAAGCAGGAGCAGATATCTAAAGGGATATTTCAGAGTGTTCCAAATAAGTGCACTCCTACTACAGAGAAAAAATTCCAAGGAGGTGAACCATCACCAGTATTTACTAAAGAAATGAAAGAAAACATTAAACTTAAGGATAAAGCATATAATTGCTCAAAGACAAATGGCAAGTCAGATGACTGTCATAGTATAAAGAATGGCAACAATGACTTAAAGTTTAATCAATAAATTAGATCCGGAGACGAATAGTGTCATGATCAAATTGCAGTTTGGGACACAATCTGTTGCGGATGTCTTGCTGTTCAGCAAGAGGTCATCAGCTTCTCATATCCTTGTAATCAAAGAAATATAGTCTACTCTGTTTGAAGTTCCTTTCACACCTCTAGGTGTTGCAATCCATTGCTTCCACACAGAATTCTTTGCAGTCAACCACTAAATTTATATCTGTTATCATTTTAAGTCTATAGAAATCCTCTTTAGAAAAAATTCGTTATGGAATTAAGGGCTAAAAATGCCCATTATATTTCAGAGTTCCGACCCAATGTTTTAACACCAATTAAAACTGTACATTTATGTCACTAGCACTGTACACCCAGACTAGTTCGCATTTTCTTCATTCTCTTAACTGATATATAACTTGAATGTTACCTTAATTCCTCAAGACCTTCTGAAGAGGCCATGTTGGATAATATAACCCAATGTTAAGTTTGTTGATGTTTTATCTAAGAAATGGGATCTTGCTTCAATTCATAAATCAGCAGCTCAATTTCCTCTAGAACCTTTCTACAAAAAAACCACCCTCTGGTCATTTTTAGTAATTAGCTCATGTGTTATTTAAGAGCTAACTAACACATTTTCTTTTTGCTCATTATATTTGTTTTAATGTCTTTATGAGAGCTGTTTGTTACAGTTTTGGGTGATGCTATATCTAAGACTTCGATGCTGTTTGACATGTAAGACCACCTACTTTCTAATAAAGATAGAAACATGCTTCCAGAAATTCATCTCTAAGGAAAGGTTCAGGCATAACAATAAAAATCTTTCCCATCTTTTGTCTAATCTCACTCACATCTATTCACAGTTCGGTTTTGCTTTCGATTCTTTGTAGTCTTTTAATGGAAAATTCTCCTTTTTCGTGTATTTGTCTCAATTTTTTCTTTGTCAACTATTTATCAAAGATTTTATATGACAAATATTCCTCAGTAAATGCATTTTGTTCACAAATCTTCAGTGTTTAAACATGAGTAAAACTAAATATCCATTTTGAGGTTTTCAGCTTTTCAATGGCCTATTTTTGATAGTTTTTTTATTCAAGGGTGTTGCTGGCCAGATTAGCATTTATTGCCCATCCCCAATTCCCCAGAGGGCAGTGGGTCTGCAGTCACATGTAGGCCAGTCTAGCTAAGGATGGTAGTTTCCACAGTGAACCAAATGTGTTTTCTGTTGTCCTGACAATCAACAATTGATTCATGGACACCATTACACTCTTAATGGGAGATCTTTTTTCAATTGAATTCAAATTGCAACATCTGCCATGGCAAGATTCAAACCCAGATCCCCAGAACATTCCTGGGTCTCCGGATTAAGTCCAACGATAAAACCGCTAGGCCATCACCTCCCCTTAAAGTGCGTTAATTATATATGTTTAAGACAATGAATGTCAATTTCACATAAACAACTATTTAATTGCATTGAAACTGAACTAAAACATAAGGATAATGCCCTGATGGTATTTTTTTACCTCAAAGTCAATGACAGCTGGCAGGTATTTCAAAGATTTACCCCAATGCCGATACATTTTGACATCTGGTATTCCATGACCTAATAGTCCAGCATTTGATTTCAGGTCACCTCCTAGTACATGTGGAAGAACATCTTCAACAAGGCTACTTGACTTTTCTGAAGCTAAATAATAATTAAAGAAAATCATTATCTTTAACATAATTAAAATTTTCCATCAGATGAAAATTCAATATAATTATGAAATTAATACAGGGAAAGTAAATATTATTTCTAAACATATTAAACTCAGTGGAAAGCATTTCATAATGGACAAGTAGAGTGTTCTTCTATCCTGACTATTTTGTACTGTTATCTATACGTGTATTTTAATGAGTTTTCAGATAATTTATGACATTTTAAAGGAATAGAACACCTCTCCACTTTCGAACATATAGGGAGAATTTTACTCAGAGAGGGGTGTGATGGGGTGGGTGGCTGTGTGTTCTAAATTGAGGTTGAGAAACCTGGAAGTTACTGAGGGACGTGAGTAAATTTTCCCTCAAAAGTGTTCAAACATTTGAAGCAATTTAGAATAATGTGCTTTGCCTTTAACTCCAAATTATTGAGTTTCCATTTTATTTATAAAACTTTTCTGTGAACTTCATTTCTGTAGGAGTAATAAATAATATTAACCTACAGTTATTTAAAGAATTCCACTAGAATCTAATATTATGACTCACAAGTTTTATTTGATGAGGTACTTACATTCTTTCTGCTCCAATTTACGTCTACAACCTTCGGCCTTTATCAAGCCACCCACATCCACAGATCGTTTTGAAACCACTACTCCCAATGATCCTGCAATGCAAGATCCAGCTTCGGATGCAGTCAAATCTTTAAGATAAAGAAAGAACATTGGGTCATAAGACACAAGTGTAAAAGGAGACCGTTCAGGCCAAGGTCTGATCCACCATTCAATGAGATCATAGCTGATCTGATAATCCACAATTTTATTTTCCTGCCATCTCCCCAAAATGTAATCTTTGGTCCCCTTATTGATTAAATGTCTGTCAGCCTTGAATATGCACAATGGACCAGCCTTTGCATTAAAGGATTCCAAAGATTTATTACCCTCCCAGGAAAGAAATTCCTTCTCAATTGTGTCTTAAATGGCTGACCCCTTACTATGAGATTATGCTCTTTGGTCCAAAACAAGGGCCAACAACCTTTCTGTATCTATCCTGATAAGTCTCCAAAATCTTGTATGTTTCAATCAGATGTCTTCTCATGCTTTTACATTGAGGATCTGATGCTCTCAGAGTGTTGGTGCGGAGTCAATGGGCTGAATGCCTGTATCTGCACTGTTGAGATTCTATGATCCTATGATTCTATGATTCTCTGCGCTGTAGCTTTCTGCAGTCTTTTTCCATTTAAATAATATTCAGCTCTTCTATTCTTCCTGTCAAAGTTCATATCCTCACATTTTCCCATATCATATTCCATCTGCCAAGTTTTAGCCCACTTTCTTAACCTATCTATATCTCTCTGCAGACTCTTTGTGTCAACCTCAGCGCTTGTCTTCCCATCTATGTTTGTGTCATCTGCAAATTTGACTGTAGTGCATTCATTTTCTTCATTTGAGTCACGTCCAGCACTTATCCCAGTGGGACTCCACTAGTTAGAGGATGACAACCTGACGATGCTGCGCCCTCCCCCCCAACTTATGCCAACTCTCTGAGTTTTATTTGCTAGCCAAACCTCTGTCTATGTGAAGATACTAACTCCAAACAATAAGTGCTTTTCTTACTAAGTAGCCTAACATGCAATATCTTATCAAACACCTTCCGAATAATCAGTATATTACATTCACTGCTTCTTCTTATCTATCCTGTTTCAACACCTCAAAGACGTCTAATAAATTTGACAGGCATGATTTCCCCTTCCTGCAGCCATGCTGACTCTGCATGATTGTATTATTTATTTATAAATGCTCTTCTGTTGCATTCTTCTCAATAATGGATATTAAGCTAACTGACCTACTAATTTTTCTTGTCTCCTTCCCTATTAGAATAGGAGTATTACATTCGCAATTTTCTAATTCTCTGCGACTTTTCTAGAATCTGAGGATCTTTAAAAGAATACTACCAGTGCATCCGCCATCTTTGTAACTTCTTTTTCTACCCAAGGATACATCATATGTGTTCCAGGGATTTTGTCTTCATCCCCATTATGTTTCCGGGTACATTTTCTCTAGTGATAGGGAAATTGTTGTTATTGTATTTATTTCCTCTCCTCCTTTTGCCCTGTGATCATTTAGTAATTTTGCAATGCTATTAGTGTCTTCCATTGTGAAGACTGATGCAAAGTATTTATTCAATTCCTCTGCTATTTCCTATTCCCTGTTATTATTTCCCCAACATCATTCACAAAGGAGCTTATGTTCACTTCTGCTCTCTCTTCCCTTTTATACATTTAAAGAAATTGTTGCTGTCCATCTTGATATTGCTTGCAAGTTTATTCTCAAAGTTTATCTTCTTCCTTTTTTTAGATTGTATGATATGGCACTTAGATATGGATTCATTCAAAATGCGCTTCAGTGATTCTATCTTTTACTTTTTTAAAACTGAGCTGCAAGACAAGAAAGTAATTATTAACTCTGATATTTTCTTCACAGATGCTGCCAGGCCTGCTGAGCTTTTCCAGCAACTTCTGTTTTTGTTCCTGATTTACAGCATCCACAGCTCTTTTGGTTTTTAATTGTTTTTCTGTTTTGGATACAGACCATAGCGATAGTCAAACCCCTTTAGCAAATATGCATGAAATCAGCCTTGTCATGCTTCCAACTACCACAGTACTTCAAATTCTTCAAGAAGCCTTCCTTGTTTATGCATTTCATAGGAATACCTTAGATAAGTCCCAACTGTGAACTGTTAAAATTTCAAACTTATAATTTATTTCTGAGATTCTCTGAAAATGTAGCTGTATGCACTTCCTCTGATTTCTGAGAATATTGTTGCAAATCTTTTAGATGTTATATATGCACATGATAGAGAGACTTCACTTTGTGACTTACAATTAAAGAAAAAAACAAACAGAAATAGGAAAGCAGCAATAAGAAATGAAACAGACCAAGAGGAAGATAACAGCAAGGGAGAAAGAAATGGAAGAATAAGAAATTAGCATGAATTAAACATATAGAAACCAATTGAATAGCAGCAAAGAGATCAAGAAAAGAAAATGAGAAGTGATACAGAGTGCAATGGAGGAGGAAAGGACAGAATTCCAGCAAAGCAAGAGAAAAATGTAAAATTCATGTCATAATTAATCTTATGGCATTGCATACAGGTGAATCAAATGTAACTGTCCTACAAATCAGGGAATGAGGGGCAGTGGGTCATCTGCCAATTTCCTCCATGCTGGCTTTCCTTTTCATTATAAAGATCACAGCAGTGTGTTTACTTACCCCGTCCATTGCAGCAGGCATAGTAAATGGATCACAAAGTAACATTATTGTAGCTGCTGTGCATTACAACAGAGTTTGAACTAATATTTCATATCTTCCCCTTAAAGAAATATTATAATATTATTGTATTATTCTGACTTGTTTCAAGCAAAGAAGTATTAGTTGCCACAAACCTGACTCTGCCAATGCCTTCTTATTCAGAACAAGAATGAATTCATAAACACCTCCCATCGTTCCTGAAGCGTAGTAATGAGTACCATAATCTGCAATGAATTTAGCGTACATTCCATAATTGTATTCATCTGGAAGTTTCATGAGGGATTGAGTCATATCTTCATCCAAAAGTAAATTATATCTCCTCATTTTGAAGTGAGCAGTTTGAACCTTAGTACGAACACGAACAAAACTAACATCCTAAAAAAAAGTCAACATTTTACCTGAACAACACTTTTAAAAGAGTAATATCACATCATTCCCGATCACAGATGTTTCCATTAAATTAATCTATCAATGTCTATAATGTTTGAAACTGCATTTCCGTTCAGATAAACTCTGATCTCAATCAGTTTGGTTTAATTTTGGACCATGCTCAGTGATGTTGGAAATAAAATTAACATAAATGTAATAAAACTCAAACATTGAAATCAGTGTAAGACTCAATAATCGGATAATGTCCATAAAGTGCTTGTTTCTATTTTATATTCTAATTGTCAGTTGACACAAACCAGCAGCACCTACAGTCCCCTAAGAATTAAATGACAGTAGCTTAGGTTTACTGACAATGGTACATTCAAAGGTGCCTGGATTGGTTCAAAGCCTCAGAGTACCAAAGCGCACACATCAGCAGATGCAAGCTGTTTCATATACTGTGGGTGGAATTTTCCCATTTGAAGATAAAGAAAGGCAGTGAAAATATAAAATGGCATAATATCCATTGATGGCTGGGGCAGGGTATGTCGCCCAATCATGTTCTTTTCATCTCGTCATCTATGCAAGTGAGATATTGCACAAGTCATTTGATGAATTACATGGTGAGCCAGTCAGAGGTTCACACAACTAATGGGAGTTTCCAGGTGTGAAGTTTCAAGCATGATATTTAAAGGCCATCTGGATACCACTTCAGTTGTTGCAAGCCGTGAGTATCACCTCAGCCTGTAGTGGTCACCTTGAAGCTGAAGACACTGCTCCTAAGAAAGCAAAATCGGCTCCAAGGTGTACAGCAAATGCCCCTCAGTTGCTGCTAGATGGGGTCACCATGAAAAGGTTAGTCCTTTTCCTGGCTGGACAGATAAGAAAGACAGCTCATCAGAACAATCCAACATGGGCAGAGATCACACACAGATCAGTGCCATGGCTTCACTGAGAGGTATAGGCAACTGTGCCGCAAGAAAGTCTATGATCTGCTGCACTCTACGTACGTGGTAACATATTCCCACTGCTAACTTACACTCACAGGGCTATCATTCATTCTAATTCTACCACTGTATATGCATCTCACCAAGGGTAACTGACTACAATGCTTAGCATCAGATGCATTATGCCCACTCAAACATTCACATTACTCCTGCCCACTGTGATTCTTAATTATTTACTGGGAATACCTCACCACTATGTATGGTTAGGCATGGTCACAAACTACCCTTGCACCAATTCCTATCATATTCAATCTCGTCTTTGCCTCATTGCAGGAAAAGCTGAACCATAACCAAGTCAAGGGGACTAAGAAAGGTGGGTGAGTGGGTCAGATTGGGTCATTAGGCTCCTCACCCACTTTAAGGAAAAAATAATGAACCTGACAGGACCTGACCATGATCTTTCCTATGGGATAAGCACCAGGATAATCTGAGTCTGCAAAAGGATATAAACAAGTTAACTGAATGGGGACAAACTTGGCAGATGGAATATGATGTGGGAAAATGTAAAGTTGTGCACTTTGGCAGGAACATAAGAAATAGGAGCAGGGGTAGGCCATCTGGTCCATCAAGCCTGCTGCACCATTCAATAAGATCATGGCTGATCTTTTCTTGGACTCAGATGCAGCTCCTGCCCGTACACCAAAACCGTTAATCCCTTTACTGTTCAAAAATCTATCTATCTATGCCTTTAAAACATTCAACGAGGTAGCCTCAATTGCTTCACTGGGCAGGGAATTCCACAAATTCACAATCCTTTGGGTGAAGAATTTCCTCCTGAACTCAGTCCTAAATCTGCACCCTCTTATTTTGAGGCTATGCCCCCAGTTCTAGTTTCACCTGCCAGTGGAAACAACCTCCCTGCTTCTATCTTATCTAGTCCCTTCATAATTTTATATGTTTCTATAAGATTCCCCCTCATTCTTCTAAATTCCAATGAGTATAGCCCCAGTCTTCTCAATCTCTCCTCATAAGCCAACCCTCTCAACTCTGGAATGAATCTAGTGACCTTCTTCTGAACCCCCTCCAGTGCCAGTACATCCTTACTCAAGTAAGGAGAACAAAACCGTACACGGTACTCCAGGTGTGACCTCACCAGCGCCCTATACATCTGCAGCATTATCTCCCTGTTTTTAAACTCCATCTCTCTCGCAAGGAAGGACAATATTCCATTTGCTTTCTTAATTATGTGCTGCACCTGCAAACCAACTTTTTGTGATTCATGCACAAGGACAACCAGATCCCTCTGCACAGCAGCATGCTGTAATTTTTCACCATTTAAGAAAAATCAATTTTGCTGTTATTCCCACCAAAATGGATGACCTCACATTTATCATCATTCTACTCCATCTGCCAGACCCTCGCCCACTCACTTAACCTAACTATATCCCTCTGCAGACTTTCACTGTCCTTCACACCCTTTGCTCTACGACTTATCTTAGTGTCATCAGCGAACTTTGACATACTACACTTGGTCCCCAACTCCAAATCATCTATGTAAATTGTAAACAATTGCGGTTCCAACACTGATCCCTAAGGCATACCGCTAGCCACTGATTGCCAAACAGAAAAACACCCATTTATCTCCACTCTTTGCCTTATGTTAGTTAACCAGTTCTCTATCCTAATGCTAATACATTACCCATAATGGCAAGCACCTTTATCTTATGCAGCAGCCTTTTGTGCAGCATCTTGTTGAATACTTTCTGGAAATCGGAAACATCACACCAACTGATTCCCATTGTCCACTGCTATCATAATATCTCAAAGAATTCCAGCGAATTAGTTAAACATGACCTGCCTTTCATGAATCCATGCTACATCTGCCCAATGGAACAGTTTTTATCCATATGTCTCGCTCATTCTTCCTTGATGATAGATTCAAGCACTTACCCCACTGCCGAAGTTAAGCTAACAGGCCTATAGTTACCTGCCTTTTGTCTACCTCCTTTGTTTAAACAGTGGTATCACATTTGAGTTTTCCAGTCTGTTGGAACCCACCACAGAGTCAAGCAAATTTCCACAACCACTATTTCCCCCACCATCAGGGCAGGAGACTTGTCTACCTTTAGTCCCATTAGCTTGCCCAACACTACTTCTTTAGTGATTGTTTCTATGTCCTCAGCTGCCATAACCTCCTCTATCAGTTATTGGCATGTTATTTCTGTCTGCCACTATGAAGACCAACACAAAATACCTGTTCAAAGCCTCGGCCATTTCCTCATTTCTCAATATTAAATCCCCCTTCTTATTCTGTAAGGGACCAATGTTTACCTTAGCCACACTTGTTCATTTTATATATTTGTAGAAACTTTTGCTATCTATTTTTATATTCTGAGCTAGTTTACTCTCATAATCTATCTTATCTTTCTTTATAGCTTTCTTCATGGCTTTCTGTTGACCTTTAAAGATTTCCCAATCCTCAAGTTTCCCATTAATCTTTGCCACTTTGTATGCATTAGCTTTCAATTTGATACCCTCCTTTATTTCCTTAGTTATCCATGGCTGATTATCCCTTTTCCTACCGTCCTTCCTTTTCACCGGTATGTACTTTTGCTGAGCACTGTGAAAAATCATTTTGTAAGTCTTCCACTGTTCCTCAATTATCCCACCATACAGACTTTGCTCCCAGTCGAGTTTAGCCAACTCCTTCCTCATCCCATTGTAGTGTCCTTTAAAGTAAGTTTGCAGATGACTTATTGTCATTAACTATATATTTTCCCTTAAAATTGATCTACGAAGTGCAAACTCTCACACACACCCAGAATAAATTCCACCTGCCATTTCTCTACCCATATCTGCAACTGACCTATATTCTGCTGTATCCTTTGACAACATTCTACGTTATCCACAATTCCTCTGATCTTTGTGTCATCGGCAAACTTACTAATCTACCCATCCACATTTTCATCCAAATCATTTATATGAATCACAAACAGCAGAGGTCCCTGTACAGATCCCTGCGGAGCACAGCTTTCCTACACAGTATCGGGGTAGTGTTAGCTCACCAGTGGCCCAGCCGAGAGGAACACCCAATAGTGTAGGTTTTCCGGACTTTGACTGATGCCAAACGAAGACACGTCCAAACAGAGAAGGAATGTTTGGCGGTCATGTTTGGTGTGAGAAATATTGACCAATCCCTTTACAGCTGTAAATTTACAATGGTAATGGACTACAAAACCCTGCTGGATACTTATAGAGGACAAAGCCATGCCACTCATTGCTTCAGGTCAAATTCAGCAGTGGGCTCTTATTCTGAGTGCATACAATTACAAGTTGGAACACTGTCCAGGAGACCAAGTGGCAAATGCGGATGCATTGAGCCACCTGCCACTAGCAGATACACCACCAGTAGTGCCACCACTGGAAGAGTCCGTTCTGGTTTTAAACTTTCTGGAGACCATTGGGGAGGGAATGGCCTAGTGGTATTAACACTGGACTGTTAATTCAGAGACCCAGACAACGTTCTGGGGACCCAGGTTCGAATCCCACCACAGCAGATGGTGGAATTTGAATCCAATAAATATCTGGAATTAAGAGTCTAATGATGACCATGAATCCATCGTCAATTGTTGGAAAAACCCATCTGATTCACTAATGCCCTTTAGGGAAGGAAACTGTCATCCTTACCTGGTCTGGCCTACATGTGACTCCAGACCTACAGCAATGTGGTTGATTCTCAACTGCCCACTGGGTAATTAGGGATGGGCAATAAATGCTGCCTAGCCAGTGATGCTCTCGTCCCATGAACGAATAAAAAAAAATTCCAGACATTGCTGAAAATATCAGACTGCAGACACAAGAAATCCCATCCTGGCAAAACTAAAACAGCTCATGGTGATGGGGGAAACAAAAGGGCCGTGACAACCAGAATTGAAACCTTTCCGGAACCGGCAAAACCAGATCACCATAGACGATGCCATATTATTATTGGGAGCAGGAGCAATTGTCCCAAGTAAAATTCACTGTTAGATACTGGCTGAACTTTAGCAGGGTCATCCAAGGGTTTCCAAAATGAAGATGTTGGCGAGAAGTTATGTCTGGTGGCCAGGATTGGATCCGACATAGCTGTACTCTTGGGGCACTGTCCAGAGTGCTAATGAAGACAGAAGTTACCACCAGCATTTCCCCCACATTCATGGGAATGGCCAGGTAAACCCTGGACTCAGTTACACATCAACTATACCGGTTCTTTCATGACCTGTATGGTTTTAGTCATTTTTGGACGCTCGTTCAAAATAATTGGATTTGCATAGAGCTCATTCATTAAACATGGGGTCGACAATTGAAAACTTATGAGCATCATTTGCAACACAGGGACTCCCGGCAGTGTTGGTCACAGACAATGGGCTATCATTTACCAGCAGAGAATTTGAGTATTTCCAAAAGTCAAGTGGCATTTGGCATGTACAGACAGTTCCATACCATCCATCGTCTAATGGTCTGGTGGATGGATCAGTGCAAACTTTGAAAACAACCTAAATGAAACAGCCTATGGCTTCACTCGACACCAAACTGTCTGGTTCCTGTTTGATTACAGAACCACCCCTCACACAACTACAGGGACAGCTCCTGCAGTGTTGCTAAAGGGAGAAGATTCCCCACCAGACTAAATCTGATCTTCCTAGGGCAGGAGGAGGGTGCAACAGCACCAGGAACAACAGTGCTGGACTCAAGACTCCTTTAAGCTAGAGAGATAGTTTACTTCAGGGGATGAAGTTTGGTGTTGAAACCACAGGATTGGCCCTGCATGGGTACGAGGTATGGTCGTCGTGAGGTCAGGCCCCATGATGTACAAAGTTCGGGTAGGTGAGACAGTCCTAAACAAGCACGTGGACCACTTGAAAGCTGAATCCTTGAAAACAGGGCAGGAGCAAAACATGCCCAACCCTGAGAACATCTAGGAAAGCTGCAGAACCGATGGTTTCTCCTCCTTTGCCTCGAGTCGAAGAAACCTCTGAGGACGAGATGGACACGGCAGATGTCGCAGCCTTGATACCATCACCACCTGAAGAAGAAGAGGAGTTTCATCCAAGATGCTCTGGGCACAAGAGATGGGCTACAGTCAGGCACGTGCCACCAGAATCCAAGGCAGAGTTGAAGGAACCAGACCTTGCATGAAAATACCCCAGAAGAAGCTACAGGAAAAAGAACGGGCCTACATCCCAGGAGTTAAAGGGGGAGGGATGTAGTACTTGGAACAAGTTCAGCCAGGTGAAACTGATAGAATATGAGTTCCCCAATTGGGACTGTTAACCTGGTCCAATCAGGAGCCCTGGCTGACAGATATAAACAGGAATATCAGGGGTTCTGTTCACTCTAGGAGCCAGCTGTGAGCTAGCTGGGTCACTGTCATGCACTATGCACATGTAAAGAAAGGGTGACTTGGTCACAAGATATTGGTGTCAGCCTTTATGGATTTATTTCAATGATCTGTGCTATCTTTCAAATAGGGAACATGGCAGGCTCTATGTTGTCATGTATGCCATCTGTATGCATAGCATAAGAAAGCACTGTATTTTAATACAATATACACAATAGTTTTGTTATTTGTTATTTGTAACCCTGTACACATACAAATCCCAATACAAAACTAATTTACTGGTTACAAGACTAAAATGTGTTATTTTATGAGCACTTTACACAGATTATATTTTTATTATGTTTGAAAAAACACAAGCTGATGGAGGCTCCTTCAGAAACAAATGGAAGAAATAGTAACAGAATTGAAGCACAAGATTTTCTAGTGCGATAAACCTTCCTTGCTCATGTTTCCACCTTTGCTATACCCCAATGTTATGCAGAAAGGCTTTGGTCATTTTAATGACTTACAATAATCACTTTAGAATAAAAGAAAACAAAAGTAATCTGCCATTTACTTACCTTCCCTTGAAACCTTGTTACATTTCTAATAAATGTGGAATATTCTCCAAAAGCAATAGCAGCTTTTACAACAGAAATTTGCACACCAACTCCAAAATCAAAAGAGTCTATACTCTTCATTGTTTTAATTAATTCATGTACATCATTGTGAACATCTACGGTAAATCCAGAATCAGCAATTGCCTTTGAATGAAGCACAAACAAGTGATAAAGGTTTAACGATATTCAGAGATGAAACCTTTTACGTTGTAATTATTTTCAGTGAGATTGGTGAGTGAATTTGCACCCTAACAAGACATTATTTATTTTTCTCCTGCATTTTCCTCCTTCCGCTTCATAAACTACTGTCTCTTGGCACCTCTCAACCACCTGGCCCCAGTTGGCTAGAAAGTATATTGGACCCAAATAGCTGTGTCCGTGCTTTACATCTTTATATGTTTCTATGAAAGATGGAAGAAATTTTAAATAGGAGCCACAGAAAAAAAAAGGTAAAAGAGAAAAACAGCCATGAGAGAAAATATGGGCAGAATGAACTGTAATAGGAAAGATGAACTGGTTTCATGGTAGTGATTATATTTACAAAATAAATGGTTAGTAGCATTACAATAATTCATCCAGAAGTAGCTGGGTGAGTTTCTGACAGTCAGTTATATCACTCGGGATGTAGAATGATAAATTGACCTGGCCCTGAGTGGGGGATGGGTGTGAGGGGTGCTGTTCTCTGTCAGGAAGATCCTGCTGAGAACACTAATAAGCTCATGTATAGGCTTTTAATTGTGCAGATTACTGCATGTCTGTGGAACGAACCACTGCTTGCTTGTGTTTGGAGTCAATAGCTGCCACCAATCTTCCTTTGTATATTGAGTCTTTGAACCTATCTAATTAGCAGTGGCACAGGATAAACCATACTAAATCATGCTGAGATAAGGAACTTGTCTTCCACATCAAGATGTACTCTATTGCATGATAACTGGTTAGGCATAATTATAAAGACTATCTGCAGCCAGAGATGAAACATCGATCTCTAACAGGACCTCTAGCTCATCTGCTATTCTCTATCCATAAGCTGTATGACATCTTTGGATTGGATGGAACTAATGCAGCTTTAGCATTGGCCCTTTCAGAACCATTGCTTTAAGAAATATCTTCCTTCAAGTCTTTTTCCCCCATAGTTGACATTTATGTATTCGGGTACATAGTTACTTTTACATTTATCACTATCTCCCAAATCTCTGGGTTCATAAATTCATATAGTCTGAAGTTTTCTCAATTCTTCCAGAACATTGCTGTTCTTACTTGGGAAGATTGGATGGTATTTTCTTTCAGGACTGTTGACCTTAATTCTGAAATGGACCTTGATTGATCTCCAAACCATTTCTTTAATCTTTTGAATATTTCTTGCAGAGGATGTTGTTCCTCCTAAACCCAGCTACATCTACCCTGCTTGATAGGTAGTCTCTGCCAGTGATGATGACTTGCCTCTGGAAAAAGTCACCCATGATGGGAAGCATTAGTTCACTTCTCCAATGCTATTATTTTAGACTTTCCTGCCAGCCCAGCCTTCAGGCACACTTACGTAGAATTGGCAAGTTTCCACCCAGTGAGTGCTATCAAAAAAGGCCTTTTCTCTCTAAGCAGAAAATGAATTTCTGCAGCAAGTTTTATCATAGACTAAGTAACTTGTTTTAGCAAGATAGCATCAGTCACTTCAGCAATGTTGATTTACATGTCCATTTCCTGCAAAGATTTTGTTTCTTTTTCCGAGGAAGATTTGCCTTCTCAATGGTTCTGCTAATTTCCCAGTAATTATTCTAGGAGTTTCCAATATATATTGTAAGAAGTGAAATTTACCAAATCTGTGTCAGATGGTTTCTGGATATTCGTTTGCCTCCTGCAACTAAGGTGCGTTTCCAATTAATCCATAAATTCTGAAGGGGTTCAGCGCTGGATAACATGAGCAGCTATGACCCTGACATAAACATTGGAATTTCAATCTGCAGATTTGTATATATATACACACGTGTGTATGTATGTATGTATATATAATACATATTATACATATTTATATATATATATGTGTGTGTGTGTGTGAGAATTTTTCATCAATGTTTATGAAAGTAGCTGCAATCCTTTGATATAAAATACCACCAGTTGAGAAGAACTCAATGACAGTAAAATCACTGTTTATTTTCTGAAACAGGAAGTTGAACTGGAAACTGAATCAGTGCAGATATCTATTAATTTTAACAGGAAGTGATTGTTGGTCCACTTGCTGGGATATTTGTGTTATCGATAGCCACAGGTGAGGTGCCGGAAGACCGGAGGTTGTCTAATGTGGTGCCATTATTTAAGGAAGGTGTAAGGAAAAGCCAGGGAACTATAGACCAGTGAGCCTGACATCAGTGGTAGGCAAGTTGTTGGAGGGGGATTCAGAAAACAGGATTTACATGTATTTGGAAAGGCAAGGACTGATTAGGAATAGTTAATGCTTGTGCGTGGTAAATGGTGTCTCACTGACTTGATTGAGTTTTTTGAAGAAGTTTATGATTTGAATGTGAATATAGGAGATAACGGTTAGCAAGTTTGCAAATGACACCAAAATTGGTAGTGTAGTTGACAGCAAGGAAGGTTATCACAGAATACAATGGGACCTTGATCAGATGGGCCAATGGGCCAAGGAGTGGCAGATGGAGTTTAATTTAGATAAATGTGGGGTGTTGCATTTTGATATGGCAAATCAGGACAGGACTTATACACTTAATGATAAAGTCCTGGAGAGTGTTGCCAAACAAAGAGACCTTGGGATGTAGGTTCATAGTTCCTTGAAAATGGAGTCGCAAGTAGGCAGGGTAATGAAGAAGGCAATGGTACGCTTCCCTTTCTTGATCAGTGCATTGAATATAGGATTTGGATGTCATATTGCAGCTGTACAGGACATTGGTTAGGTCAGTTTTGGAGTACCGTGTTCAATTCTGGTCTCCCTGCTAGTGGAAAGATGTTGTGAAACTTGAAAGGCTCAGAAAAGGTTTACAAGGATGTTGCCAGGGTTAGAAGGCTACAGGAAGAGGCTGAATAGGCTGGGGTTATTTACCCCGGAGCTTCGGATGCTGAGGGGTGACCTGATAGAGGTTTATAAAATCATGAGGGGCATGGATAGGGTGAATAGCCAAGGGCTTATTCCCAGGGTAGGGGAGTCCACAACTGGATGGCGTAGGTATAAGGTGAGAAGGGAAAGATTTAAAAGGGACCTGAGGTGCAATTTTTTTCATGCAAAGGGTGGTGTGTGTATGGAATGAGTTGCCAGAGGAAGTGGTGGAGGCTGGTACAGGTACAACATTTAAAAGGTGTCTGATGGGTACATGGATGGGAAGGGTTTAGAGGGACAAAAACAAAGTTGCTGGAAATGTTGCTGGAAGGGTTTAGAGGGATATGGGCCAAATGCTGGCAAATGGGACTAGATTAATTTGGGATATCTGGTCAGCATGGACGAGTTGGACTGAAGGGTCTGTTTCCATGCTGTACATCTCTATGACTGTACTTCACATGAGTATCTGATAATGTTTTTGGGTAACCATTGGCATACATTAAACCTTTTCCGGCAGTAACAGTGCAGCATAATGTGGTCACAACTTTGGAAATGACCAGTTGGGCAATGAGAGCTAAGATACATTGAAACGTTTTTGATTTATTGCAGTCAACTTGGGAAGTTGTGAAGCAAATTCAATGAAACTGAATGAACTGACTGCCAATGAAACATATGAACTGAAAAATGGTTCAATGCTTACCTCAAAACGGTATGTGAGTAAATTGTATGGTTTTCGGAAGTATTTCTCATCATCGTTATAGTAGAGACGTTCACACTCACTGTCATATCGCAGTTCCCTCCAGTCCCCATTATACACATATTCACAATATCCACCAAACCCAGTGTCTAACACAGTTCTTCCAACTTCATTTATTAAGATGTTATAGCTTAAAAAAGAAAGGTTAATTCAGCTTTTAATCTCTAAATAAACATGTATGTTCTAAAATCATGCTTCTCAAGTCAATCCTGAGACCACAGGATATGATTTTGAAGTAGTATCTAAAACCAACATTAAATATCCAGTGAAGTAAACAGACAGCATCTTGAGGTAGGTTATTAGATGAAGATGAGTTTTCAGCACCACTTGCATTTTAAATTGCCAGCTTGTTCAACGGGTGAAGAGAGGGTAGAAAGTCTAGGAGGATTCCTGATCTTTAATGAGGAGATGCCTTTAATGAATGGATGGGAGCTCCTACTTCAGTCTGTGAAACCCCACCCTCCTCGCTGCCTCTTTGTTTTTGAAAGTACCAAGGAGATCGAGAGGGCAGGGGTGACCAGGAGGAGGATCCACCCTTTCAATAGTAGTGGAGTTCCTCAACAGATATCATGGCAACAGTATGTAGAGGTAGAAGACCACGTGAATACTCTTAATGCTACTCACAGTACCTCTGGAAAAAAAGTGAAATATCAAGCTAGAACTGCTTAAGTAAGACGCCCATTTACAGATTTTAGGCAGTCTAAAGAGCCCTATACAACAATAGTATGGCTCAGCACTAGAGACAGTTGAAATAAAACAAATATACCAAATGAATGCACTGACTGAAAATGTAGAGAAAGAATGCTCAATAACAGGCTCAGCGGTTAACACTGCTGCCTTACAGCACCAGGGACCCAGGCTCAATTCCAGCCTTGATAGTCTGTCTGTGTGAAGTTTGTATGCTCTCCCCATGTCTGTGTCGGTTTCCTCCCACAGTCCAAAGATGTGCAGGTTAGATCGACTGGCCATGCTAAAATTGTTTGTACTGTCCAGGGACGTACAGGCCAGGTGGATTAGCCATAGTAAATGTAGGGTTGTGGGGATGGGATAGGGGGCTGGGACTGGGTGGGATGCTCTTCAGACTTTTGGTGTGGATTTAATCGGTTGAATGGTCTCATTCCGCACAGTCAGGATTCAATGATTTTATACAGATAGACTGTACATAGAGTTTTTAACTTGGAATGTAAAAGCAGCACTGGAACAATATCTATTAACGATGGATCAATATTGGATATTGCTAATTGGCAATTTTCATTGAAAATGTAGGATTAAGGCACAGGAAAGGGAAATGGATCAGCTTCTTCCTACGGTTCCCAACATCACAATGATGAACAGTAGGACCATGCGAAGCACCAAGGATCAGAGGGACCTTATTGTGCTGTCCACTTTTCTCTTAAGGTAGCAATACAGATAGATAAAATGTTTCAGAAGGTATATGAGATATTTGCCTTTATTAGCCAAGGAACAGAGTCTAAGAGCAGGGAGATGATGCTGGAACTGTATAAAACATTGGTTAGGCCACAGCTAGCATAACATGTGCAATTCTGGAATCCACAACATAGGAGGGATGTGTTTGCACTGGGGAGGGTGCAGAGGAGATTTGCCAGGACATTGCCTTGGTTGGAGAATTTAGTTTTAAAGAGAGATTGGATAGACTGGGATTGCTTTCCTTGGAGCAGTGGAGACTGGCTGTATGTCATTGATATGTGTGAAATTATGAGGGGCATAAATAGGGTAGGCAGGGCAGAGATTTAAGGTAGGGGCAAGAGGTTTAGAGCAGATATGAGCAAAAATCATTTCACCAGAGGGTGGTAGAATCTGGAATTCACTGCCAATAAAGGTTATAGAGGCAGAAACCCTCATAATATTTAGAAAGTATTTAGGTGTGCGCTCACAATGCCAAGGCATACATGGCTATAGCCAAATGCTGGAACATGAGTATAGAATAGCTAGATGGTTGTTTTTGGCTGGTACAGACTCAATGGCCTGAAAAGCCTTTTTGTATTTTGCAGACCTCTATGACTCTTATAACTATGGGTCAGATGTCAAACTTCATTCAGTTGAATTAATTCCAGGTTATATCAAGAAATAAGGCAGCATTTGACCAAGTATAGCATCAACAAGCACTAATAAAAGTGAAGTTAATGAGATTCTGGGGGAAATTCTTCACTGATTGGAGTCATACTTAGCACAAAGGAAAATGATTGCGATCATTAGAAGCAATTGTCCTAGCCCCAGGATATTACTGCACAAACTACCAAAGATGATGTCCTAAGCCTAACCATCTTCAGGTTCTTCATTACTGATTTTCCTCAATGAAAATGTCAAAGTATATATGTTCTTTCATGATTATGCATTGTCCAAAACTGCAGCAGTCCATTTTATTATATAGTATTTATAATTCTGTGATAACTAATTACATGCTTATTCAGCAGTGAGCTACTGATTGAATATTAATCTACCAGCCAGACAGCATGATGCAATATCCGGGTTATAGACCAATACATGAACTAGCATTGACCATTATGCTGGAATACAAACATGAAAAACTAAAGAAGGAAGCCGAAATGAATCCAGGCTGGAACCAAAACATGTCTTACCCAGTCATAATTGCTTCTATGCCTGGGATTAAAAACAAGTTACTGCAGAAAGTCCTTCTCTCATTTGGATAATCAGACTCACAGGTTTCTTCATCTGTAACATCTGCACAGTCTTTCTCACCATTGCACAGTAAATGTCTTTTAATACATCGACCTAAAAAGAAAATTCAACAGTGATTTTAAACATGAACTTCACATTAATCATTTTATAAATTTTATAAAGATATTTTCAAAACTTAAGCTTCATATCACTAATCATGAGCTTCTGTGTGACATCATTTTCTCAATTACACTTTTAAAGCCGTGTGCTGTTTTTCACTAAGCACGTGCTAATGCTGACATTAAAAAGCAATAAATTTGAAACAAAAAGCATGCTTTGTGGTCTGGTTTTGGTTCCATCTTTTGGGACGAGGTGTCACATCACTGATGCAGCACCTAAAATTCATGGGATCTCCAGCTTAAAGTGAGAGGGGCAATAAAAGGAAGAGTAAGTGGGATGGAAAGTGATCAGGCTCTGAATGGGGCAGAAAGTGAGGCATTGAAGACAGTGGAGAATGGGGTGACAAGCAGGGCAACAAAGATAGCAGATAAAGAGGAATGAAGGGCAGGCAGCATCAACGAACACAACAGTTCCGCTTTTGGTCCCAAATTCAAGTTCTACTGTGATGCAGGTGCACAATGATCACATTAACAGCACCAATGCTCTGCCCAAAAACATTGACAGAAGGTACAGCATAGCTTTTCAAATTACTTCTCTCCTGAATGCAGACAAAAAGACTGAATGTACTATCAAGGAAATGGGCACAGAAAGATGGTTTTGTGTGTCTTCCATCATTCATATATCCTTTTTAACAGGGATATCCAGGAGTTCTTGTCTAAGAATGGGTATCATTAGTCAATTGACTGCAAACAAAACATGGTAAAATTCTAAACCTAATTGAATTTTGATTTTCAATTAATATACAGAGAGGTACTTGCCTGAACTGCATTGAAACTGATCACCACAGTTAATTTTTGGTATGCATTGTTCAGATGTTTCACAAGAAGCGTCTTCCCACAGAGATCCAATGCATTGGCTACCACCATATATGGCTGGCCGATTCAGATTCCTATATCTGGACTTTACAATTAAACCAAATATGTTAATTATTGCTCCTGTTTATATACAGAATGCATAACAATAATAATATGCAGTATATATAATCACATCAATAAATATTAAAATTGAGTATCATTTTGTCTGTCACAAAACACACTGATGCTCTATTCTCCACGTAAATGTTGGATCATCATATTGTAGTAATTGATACAACTATACTAAATTTATTTAGATCAATGATCATGCATATGGATCTGCTCAGCTCATGTCCACCTCACTAATTAATATTTTAGAACAATTGTTAGTAACAGGGCCAAGCTTATAAAAATTGCACATTAACATCCAGTCACTGGTTGATATGCATTCTGTATTTCCAGCTCTCAAGACAAGAGTCTGGTCTGTACTGTGACTTTATTGGAACTGGCTGCCAGATGGCAGCCCCAGTGAGAGCCTCGTGGTAGAGATCACAATGACTACGGCAAACCAGGAGACACATTCCTAAAAATTGCATACCTATCCCAAATATCTCTATGTTCTGTTGCGATAGATTAGTTTATGAAATAATCTCAGGAGCCTCCAGATACAGGTCAACAATTGTTTACTGAGCCAACTTTTGGAGAGTCCATCCTAAAAAAGATTCTGAGGTAGCACTGTAACTCAGTGAGGATTCCTCGGATATTTATACAATGTAAATCATGTAGTCCGTACATTTCTTGACTTGAGAAATGGTTTGTTTTGGACAAACACCTTGCTTTTCACACATTCCAACAAGTAGCAAGACACCTGTTACTCCTGACCTCACTATTGCCTATCTTTCCAGCGCTATTCTATCTCCTGTCTGAATATTATGCTTCATTCCCCTCTATGCTTTGTCTTTCTTGGCATGGTACGGGGTCATCCTCACATTCCATTTCCAAATAAGGCCTCAGGGTTAATGCTGGTTCAGCCACATTGCATGTTCACAGAAATTCTGTCTGTCTGCTGTGTCAGCATCTGAGTGTGTTTATGCAATTTAACTAAGTTAACTTTTAAGCTGACCACTTTCTTGGTTAAGAATAAATGAAAATGAAACTTAAATGATTTATATGGTTATTGTTTATGAAGTTAACTAAATTTCTCTACATCATTCTAATCCCAGCAGGAATTTCATGAGTATTTACAAGTTAACTCATGTCATACCCAAGTGACCCCCTAATAGTTCATACAAAAAGATCATGCATTTTCATGTATATTTGGAGTTATCCAAGTTACCCAATATACACATAACTGCTTCCATGTATTAGTAAAGTTATTAATTTCATCAGTCCGTACATAAGCTTTCCCCATATAGTGTTTAAATCTTGCCCATCTCACAACGGTGCGTGTGTGTTTTGTTAGTAGCTGTCATCTGACAATGTTCGCACACTGGGAGTGTCATTCCCGTGTCAAGTGTTGTTGCTATTGTACCTGTTATTGTTCCATTTGAGTTGTTGTGGTTCTGTAGACTTCTGGGTCTGATGGTCAATCTGTGGACCGTGCAGATGATATGTTCATCTCTTCCTGAGTGGCTGCCTGAGTTGAGGAACAGCTTCTCCAGTTCCACATATGTGATTCTGGGCACAACAGTATCCCTCATTGTTCTCTTCTACTGCAAGTCACTGAGGTGACAATTGTCTTACAGGGGTCCTAAGCTGCCATTCGGGCTCACTCTGTTGACAGTGTCGAAAGATTATCCCTTGGCAATGATTTGGCAATTTTGTCAAAACAATAGTTGGTTTCTTTCATATTGATTTTTATCACTCACACCTGTTACTACTTTTGGCTTTACTAAATCTTTGCGCTTGGAGAAGTAATTTGAGTGCGATATGAGATCAGTCTTTGCATTAGAGCACTTTCATTGCCTTCAGCAGGTGTGTTTCTCCACTGGAGAATTGCTTTGTGTGTGCTGGATTTTCACTCAGCTTTTCCATTTGAGTAGGGATAGTTCGGAGATGGTATTGAATTTCACAATCCTTAAAGAAGAAGTGGAATTCTTCACTTATGAATTGAGGGTCCCTGTTGCTTATCACAATGTCAGGAATCCTGCAAAGGCTGAAGTGTGCTTTCAAACATGTGATAATCTCTCAATAGTCGTTAGTCAATTCAAGTCATTCTTTCATCGCTATTTCTTGCAACACTTAAAAAGTTGCATCACATTGTGCAGTTTGTTTGAATTGTACTTATTACTGGCCACACACTTGAGTGAAAACTTGTCTTCTTGCAATGAGAAAACTGCTTTCCTCTTCTTTGTTTTATGATGTCCTCCATAGTATTTGCATTCTGCCCTTTATCTGTAATTGTTCTGCCTGATAGGTCTGGATTATCTATCAGCATAATGCCAGACAGTCAGTTTGGCCAAGAATATGCTGCTGTGTTGTGAATGGCAAGATGGGAATCTCTATTGAGTGGAGAGATGCCAATTTGAATTTATTTGCATTAATAGCATGTCATTTATTACCTAATCTCACCTCATTTTTCTGAAGTTTCCTATACTCCTACCTGTCACAAAGAAACTAAATGGCAACAATTCAACATGAGAGTCAGAGCTGGTACCAGCGATTTCAGGCCTCCAATCACTTCTCTTGGCCTCCACCTTGGACAGCATCTCAAGGCCCACTCCATGGGCAGTGATCAGCAGAACCCCTGTCCATGGATATTGGCATCAGACACATAGAGCCTCACTACAACTTCATGGCACATCCCCGGTACACTCATAATATGGTTCTGTAGTTCGATGCTGCACTTTGGTAGACTGGTACCTTTCATTATAATACTGCTGCCAGCAGGAACAGGTACCTACACATCTTAGGGTTCTTCACGCTCTCTTATTACTCTCCTTGCCTTTTTGCACTTTGCTGCCTCAGCCAGAGCTTGAAGGACCATAGTACTTCTGTCTTGCTTTGCTGTTCAGCACAGACACAAAGCCAGGTAGCTTGTCATGGTTGTTAGCAGTGATCAGTTTAGGGAGTGGACGAGTTGCTGTATGGCACAATTCTATGTCAATCTCAGACGTGTAGCATGTGCCAGCAGCATCTGCTCCATGTAGCTATGTCTCAAACTTTACAAAAAGTAGCCCTCAGTCAGTCCAGGGAAGATAGTCTTCAGTCAGGGGGTCCTGGCACAGTAAGTCAAAGGCATTACCTTCTCTCAGTCTGCCTATCCAATAGCTGCTTGGAGTAGATAGACTCCATGTTCATACCTCAACAGGCCAGGGAGTGTTGTTAGGTAGGGTTCCAGGATAGGATGACAAAAAGGACTGGTAATCAAAGCAGCTTGGTTTTTAAATAGCCATATGTTTACAACCGTGCACTTGTATTTGCAATGAAGTGTCAGTCATGCCACCTATGTGCTCTGAGAAGCATATCTTTTTGGTTCTCCTCCCACCGTCGTCATAATGGAGGGCAGCTTCTGACTGACTACGCTTGACCTGGTGCACAGCTTGGCTTCACAAATGGAGATGATGTTAGTAATCCTGGGAGGTTTCAGCAGTGGTGAGTACTTCTGCCTCTGGTGAGAGGAAAGATAGGACAAACAGGGCACCATAGAAACTTGATGTGTGGCGATAAGGCGAGTCTGAGAGAGTAGCCTGAGAACTCTCACTAGTGGTCATAGAGAAAAGCCCTCTGTAATACTCACCAAAATTGATATTTAGACAATTTCTGGTAAAATTAAGCCTAATGCTTCGAACTATTCAGACAACAGTCTAACTTTTATTTTGACCTGAAATGGGCACAAGTTTGCAGCCTTGGTCAGGGCCTCATTAAGGCACTTACATGGTTAGAGTAAGTCAGGAGGCATATTGGTACATTCTGGTTGGCTTTTTGTTCCCAGATATTTGAAATAATCACACTTTAGGCTTGGAGGCTCAGACCTCTTTGTTTAAAATCTAACTTGCCTTGCCATTGGCTTGGCGACTACTTAGGTCGTTGTCATGTTGTACAAAAGCCTGATGCTCCAATAAATTAATGAAATGTGATCCACTGGAACATTTAGGTATATAATTGATTCCTGGCTGATTAATTCCTAGCTCTTTATAGACAATACAAAAATACATAACACTGATCAATATTGGCTTTGAAACTGGAACCCCTGGACGTCAAAATTCTTGATCTGATAACTACATTTTCAGGAGTCATAGGAATAAATAAAACCATAGCAGTAGGAATAGGCCATACATCCCTTTGGACCATTCCATAAGGCCAAGGCTGATATGGTTGTCGTCTCAGCTCCACATTCCTGTCTGCACCCCGCAAACCTTAACTCCCTTATCTGCCAAAAATCCCCATAAATCAGCTTTCAATACATTTAAAAACATTGCCTCTACTCCCCTCTGGAACAATAATTTCACACTTCGATGACCTTTTGACAGAAAATATGTTCTTCGCATTTGTTTTGAAAGGGAGACCTTTTCTTTTTAAACCATGGCTACGTTCCCTCGTTTTATACTCCCCTACAAGAGGAAACAGCAGACCGCTCAGATTTTATCCTTCAATACGATTATTTCTTGTTCCTCTAAACTCCAATTCATACAGGCTTAACTTGTTCAACCTTTCGTCATAAGATAAGCTCTTCATGCTAGGAATGAGTCAAGTGAACCTTCTCTGAACTGCTCCTATATCAATGATATTATTGCAAATAAGGAGGTTAAAACTATACACGGTATTCCATATGTCATCTCACCTTGTATGGCTGCAGTAAACTTCCCTTCCCTTATGTTCCATTCTTTTCGCAATAAATAATCACATTCCATTGCCTTCCTAATCATTCACTGTACCTAAATACTAATTCTCTAAAATTTATATACCAGGACCCCCCATTCGCAGACTTCCACTGAGTCATGCAATCTCTCTCTACAATACTGTTTTTCTGTTTTTACTATGCAAAAGCTTGTCTAAATCCACATCATGCTCCATCTGCCATTTTCTTACCCATATATTTAATGCAAGCTGTGTCCTTTTACAGTATATAGATGTCCTCTTGCAACTTACTTTCCTAATTACCTT